AATCGTTGAGGGACATCCTATCTTACATTTTTCTTAAATTTTTCTTTTCAGGAATTTCCTTCCGGGCTTAATTTTCAATCCATACATCACTCTCACACTAATAATACAGCAATATTTATTTTATGCTGAGCTCTGAATTGGATATTTTAATTTTAATTTCACTTAGTATTCACATGAGATGCAGAAATCGCCCGACCCTCAAGTGACGCTTTCTATTTTCGATCTGTTGTTGTCAGTTTGCGATGCTTAAGAGAGACGTCAGTACAAGAGAGTGGGATCAAACCCAGATTTCTATCTCAGGTACATGTTGATGTACGCAACAGTGTTATCTTGCGTCCGGTTTGAGCTCATCTCATGTCGTCACCCAAGAGGGTTCGGCCCGGACGTATCGTTCCAGGCATGGAAGTGTCGTCTCCAACATAATAGTGAAAGTTTTCCTTCAAATTGAAGAAGACTCATGTTTCGGTCCTATAACCAGCAAACACATGTTCCTTTCCACCGACAGTTACTCTGGATTGTTCAGTGTTGTGTGTGCGCGCCGAGTCTGTACGTCACCCGGGCAACGGTTGTAAGTTCCTACAAAGTTAGCTCTCAGCTGTTTGCTGTGATTCCCCATTCTGGGCGCTACGTGGGTACATTGTTACGTTTTTATTAATACTCCCGGTTTTAAATAGAAAACTAATTTATGTCTGGTTTGAAATAAACGTCTACCATTACGTGTCATTAGAAATGTTTTGTAGTTTTTTTTGTACAAATGTGCTTTTATAAATCACTTGTGCAAATACGTGACAGTTGCCATTGTTTGGTGAAGATGTGTGGATGATTTCTTGCGTAGGCTGTCCGTCCCGTTTCTAGGGTACATTTGTTAACGTTATCTCGTATTGGGTTCAAACTCAGCCCAATTTGCTCCATGTTTGAATAATTTTGTTTTTACCTGTGACTTTACCGTAATGGTTATACGTCAGTAACCAGATTTTCGAAAATGTTATGGAAAATATAATTTAAAATGTATTTTTTTTTGTTACAGAGGGATGTAGGAGGTAAATATTCTCTTCTCGTTATTTCAGTATAGAGTCAGAGGGATATTAGTCTCCCCTCAATTTTGAAACACATCTTGTATGAAGAATCTAAGGGGGGAAATGGCACAAGCAGCTGGAAAAGTCGCAGAATATTAGTCGTTCGATGACGTCGGTGGTGTGATTTCCATGTGACGGAAGTGAAGTCAGAACTTGACGGAAAGGGCAGGAATAAATTATTTTGAGTCATAATTGTGAGTGAAGGACAGTGGCCAGTCGCGTCCTTTATTTTCCCAGCATTTCTTGAAGACCTACGTATTTTAACAGA